CTGCTGCTGCTTCTGCTGCTGTATTCTTGGTGCCTCTGCTGCTGCAATCCCACCGCTTCATGGGCTGCTGCTTCTTCTGCTGCATTTCTGCTCTTGCTACTGCTGCTGCTCTATGTGCTGCTGCTTCTTCTGCTGCATTTCTACCGCTTCATGTGCTGCTGCTGCAATCCCACCGCTTCATGGGCTGCTGCTTCTTCTGCTGCATTTCTACCGCTCTATGTGCTGCTGCTTCTTCTGCTGCATTTCTACCGCTTTATGTGCTGCTGCTGCTCTATGTGCTGCTGCGGTATTCCTTCTGCTGCCTCCCTACTTTCTTTTTCTCTCTCTCTATCTCGCGCTCTCTATCTATCTCTTTCTCTGTCTGTCTGTCTCTCTGCATCAGCGCAGATAAGCCATGCCGTTCGAAACTTTTTCGGCAGCAACGTGTGCAGACTCCGTTTGACTGTGCAGCCGCTGCTTTTTTGTTTTGCGCTGCAGTCGAGCGGCGATTTGCTGGATGTGGCTCTGCTGCTTATGGCCCCTCCAGTGCTTCGCTGCGTTTCCAGGTGTCTCAGCAGAAGGCTGCTGCTGCAGCAGCACACGTCGGCTGCATTTTATTCGGTAGGGGAAGACGTGGCAGCGCGATACTTCTTAGGCCTTGCGCTTTTAGGTGAGTCATAGTAGCGAGGAAGCCTACTTGTTGTTTCACGTGGAGCTTGCCTCGGCTGCTCTCACAAGTGCTTTTCTTATTCCTTGCGAAACTTGCTTGAAGGCTGTAGAGCCGACCCTCCCTCTCCCTCTCCCCCTTCCCCCACCCCTGCAGCTGTGTGCTGCGTCGCGCTGCTTTTCTCAGGCTTATCAGCGCCTTATGTTGGGCTTATGAAGTTTCTGCTAGAATCACCCCCCACGCCAGCAGCGCTAGCAGCTGGCGTTCTCCCCCCTGCCGTCCCCCCAGCCCAACCCCTACAGCAGCAGCAGCAGCAGCAGCAGCAGCAGCAGCAGGTGGGAAGGCTAGATTTTTCAGCAGCGAGTGCTGCTGCGACGACTGCGCCTTCCCAGGTCGCTCTTATAGGGGCGCCTTCGGCAGTTACTTGGCCTCGAGAGCTGAAAAGCAGCGTCTTCGATGAGGCTTATGAGCAAGACACACCTATGGCGAGTGCACCACTTTCTCAGCCCTATCGGTCTGCTGGCTTGGTAGCAGGAGCAGCAGCAGGAGCAGCAGCAGCAGCAACAGCAGGTTGTGGACTGAATGTCGGCTTCCCACCAGCCCGTTCATCGAGAAACAACACAGGCGCTATTTTGCAGGGAGATATTACAACTGCAGGAGGTTCAATCTTTGGTTCAGGTGCTGCGGGAGCTGCCGCTCCCGCTGGGGTTCCAGGAGGATCTGCAAGAGGCAACAACAGCAGCAGCAACAGCAGCAGCAACAGCAGCAACAACAGTAAGCATTGCAGCATGAGTGGTGGCGGGTATGTCCGATCTAAGCGATCACTCTCGAGCAGTGACATGCCTCCTTCATGGCGCCAACGAAGCGGGAGTCTCAGCGAGTCGCAGCAGCTCCAGCCTTCTCATCATTATCAGTATCATCATCAGCAGCAGCAGTCTCATCATCACCAGTCTCACCAGCAGCAGCAGCAACGCCGCCATCTCGCCATTCCACTTTCGCGCGTCTTGCAGCATCTCACTGAAGGAGGCAACTCCTTCCAAACTAGCCGCGTATCCGCACTGATACAAGACTGTTTGCGGCAGCAGCTGTCGGAGGACGGCGCCCTTCTGGCAGCTGCTGCAACGGGAGCCGCTGCAGCAGGCAATAGCTCCCTAGGCTCCTTCCCAGCAGCTGCAGCACAAGGCTTCCGAGGAGTCTTCATTGGATACGAGGCATCGCTGCTGGCAGTCTGCTCGGCGACTTCCTTCCTCAGTGCGTATCTTCCACCACTCGCAGGGCATGCTTGGTCTGGCTTGCTGGCGAGTCTCACCACCTTTTTTGCGGCGGATCCGCAGCAGCAGCAGCAGCAGCGCTTAGCCTCCCTGGCAAAAGCCATCCTCAAGCAACAGGATCAGCTGCAGCAGCAAGCCGTTCCACCGAGGGGTTGTCTGCAGCAGACGCTGCAGCTCCTAAGACGGTGCACTCAAACCCTCAGCGCAGCGGCTGCTGCCGCAGTGGGACCAGCGCCAACAGATCTGCCAGACGGCAGTCGAGAGCCTTCCCCCGCAGCCTCTTCTTCTTCCCTCCTACCAGCTCCGGAGGCTGCAGCGGCGGCAGACACAAGCTCCCCAGCAACGACAGCAACACGGGGAGGCACTGCTGCCCCCTTGGCTGCGTGCGCCCTCTTCTGTTCAAAACTCCGCGTGGCGCTCCTCTCTGTAGACAGTGAGGACGTCTGCCGCCGCCTTTTGATTGCCGCCAACAACGAGCTGCTGCTCTGCAGGCTGGTAAGATTTGAACCCACGTCAGACCCTCTCGCCCGCCTGACAATTCGCCTTGCTGCTCCTGGGTGGGCGGTCGGTGGCTGTCTCTTCAGCTGGTTAACGGCTGGTGGCAGCCGACGCATATACATATATGTATTGGAAGACACCTGTGGCAGGGGAGAAACAGAGCCTGTGACGTACATATATTTACATGTGTATGTGTGTTAATGTATGTGTATATGTATGTGTGTTAATGTATGTGTGTTAATGTATGTATGTGTATGTATGTGTGTATACACATATATGAACACATATGTGAGCATCTATGTATGAACATGTATGTATAGATCTACATGCATATATATGTACATATATACAAATGCTCATATATATATGTGTGTGTGTATGTATGTATGTGGGCCTGCAGTTGCTGCTTTGCTTGCCAGACACCAGCTGCGGCAGTCTCATTCATTGCAGACTTTTGCAGCACCAGCTGCAGAAGGCAGCGATCATGCGAGATGCTCTCACTGTCTCGGCGTTGAAGCGGAGGCACAAGCAGCTCGCAGCGTCGAGCAAGTCATCAGCAGTCGCTTCTTCAGGTTTGTTTTTACCTTCGAAGTCAGCGTTCCTGCGAGAGTGTGCGCTGCTGCCTCCACGATCACTGCAGAAGTATCCGCTGCTGGTTGTCTGTGCGCGGTGTAACAGATTCGCGGAGGGATTCTAGTCAGCAAGTGCAGCAGCAGCAAGAGGCGCAGAATGGAAGGAAGTGCGACGTGAATGAAGATCCTGCGGTTGCTGTCTCGCCTTTCCAACGAGGGTTCCTCTGTACGGCTACCATGGATATTGACTTCCTGCAGCTCTTCGAGAAAAAAGAAACAGTTCGGCTTGCATACCTGCCGGTGGGTTAGACACACAGAGACACAGACACAGAGAGACAGAGACAACACAGAGAGACATACACAGAGAGACAGAGACACATACACAGACATAGAGAGACAGACACAGACACAGAGACACACAGGGATACACAGACACACACGTATATATATATATATATGTATATATATATATATACACCACCTTCCTCGCCGAGTGGCGATTTTTCGCGATCACGCTGTTTAGTGTAGTCATGAAAGGCGCGCACCCTATTTTCCCCCCCCCTTTATCTCCCCCCCTTGGCGTAGCTAGCTAGCTAGCCGTTCAGGATGCCGTGGGCAGCTACCTTTTTGAAATGCTACAGAAATTGCGCAGTTTTTTAAAGCGCATACCGCACTCTGCTGTCTAGCGAAGGAGGCATGTCGCTAGCTCGCCGTTTGTGTGTGGGTAGTATCTACCCACGATATCCGGCCTGGAGCCTGCTGCTGGGGTGTTTGCACTTTTAAATGCCGATGGTTGGACAGCTAGCTGGGTGTGGCGAATGTGTTACATCGAGAGGGTGAAAATGTGCGCTGCTTTTGCATGCAGGGAAGGCTTGCCAGTCCTCTGCTCCTGGATGCTTCGCGGCACCTCTTTGCTGCAGCCGACTGGGCTCCTCCGTTTCCGCTGTATTCGCTGCTTTTGCTGCGGGTAACTGCGACAGCGGCTAGATTTAGATCCTTGGTGAAGGTGATATATGTCGGGAGTTTGTGCGTGGGGATGTGCTGCTGCGTGAGGATCGGGGAGAGGGCGGGGGGGGTGAGGTGCCTGCAGCTGCTGCTTTTCTGCTGTCTCCTCTGGTCTGCTTGTGCGATTTGCAGGAAGCGGCAGCTCGCCGCCTCCTAGGCTTCCCCCGAGCGATCACTGCCATTGAAAATTTAAAGGGGTATGTCAGAAAATCTGCTAACGCTAATGCTGCTTTAAGCGCGGTCTGCTTTTTCTGGATGTTTTTCTTACGACCGTGTGAGAGACCCTCTAAAACAAGAAGGAAGCGTATCCAATGCTGCCTCCGAGACGTGAGCTGCTGTTGCGGGTGCTGTTGCTGTTGCTGCTGCTGCTTGCGCTGCTGTCTTTACCAGGCTGGCCGCAGATCGGTACGCAGCTCAAGAGTCGTCCTCGAGGGAGGTGAGGCGTGCTTCATAAAATACAACGCACACACTTCTTCTGTACCTGTCGCAGAGAGGGCTGCAGTCAGCAGCCCGCATGCAGCATCACGACTTATAGGCACGCTACACAAACTGAATTAGAGAGAAAGGAAAGCATGTCTGATGGATGGAGCTCTCTACAGTATGCAGCTCCTGTAAGACGCCGGATATCTCGCTGCATAAATAATGCATCTATATAAATATGCATTATTTATGTCCTGCTGCAGGCTGCCGTTTTCTTCACCGCCGCAGAGAGCGCATTGAGCTTTCTGCGTCACTCCGCTTAACAAGCGGCATTTTTAGCAAGGCTGCTGAGAGTTTGTTCTTGAGCTGTCTGCCTAGACAGCACCGAGGGATAGATGCTCTTTATGTCTGGGCGTGTGCGGGGGCATCTCCTGCTGCTGCAGCAAGACGCAGCAGCAGCGACCACCAAGGGATCCCTAGCCGTCCCTAGATGGTTTGACCTCTGTGAGTCATTTTAGTGGGTGGCAAAGCTGCAGCACCAGTGCGTTTGCTGCAGTTCGCAGCAGGTGCTGTGCAGTGTCGGGATGTACATTTGTACCAACGCAGAACGAGAACTTGCTGATTCTTGCTCTCTCATGGCGCGTTAGTACACCTATCTGCACTCGGCTTACACCGGACGAAGCACCAGGCAATGACAGCAGGCCTAAACGGCTCTAGATTTAGAGCTTTACTAAAGAGCACGGTGCTGCCGCGTGCAGGGAACTGACGCTTTCTTGTCACTGATACGACGATGATAGGTAGATACATGCGAAAGAATGGGTGCATGCGCCTCTGCACTGTAAACTAAAGGAGCACCCCTCAAAAACCTTCTCTAGATGTACGTATATCTGCCCGCGTGGGTGGACCGTGCTGACGCCGTGTCGTCTTTGTAGTGTGTAATTTGTTGCGCCTCCTTCTCCATAACACAAGCTTCGCGCTTTTTCCCTCTTGGCTTGAACTACCGTTCGAGCCTTCGCAGGAGTGCTGGTGGATTGCAAAGTTCGGCAAAAAAGGAACATTCGCCTTCGAAAAGGGGGCTGCTAAGCCCTCATTTTCTGCTCGCATGCATGTCACTGCTGCTGCTGCTTTACGTGTGTTGGCCACCGATTTGGGGATGCGCGGACGCGTCGCGTTCTCTGACGTTGTCTGGTGAGGCCTTCTCGAGGCGACCAGCTCTTTTAAAAGTCATGTCTGTCTGCAGGAAGCCATCAAAAAATCCGCAATGTTGGCCACTTATGGCAGCCTCGTGGGGTCTGCTTCTGCGGAGACTTCTCTCTGCAGAATTTCCATGGCCTTACGCGGGCTGCCCTGTATACTCCGATCAGTGTATGATCCTCAAAGGGTCGCGCCACTTCCAATGGATATAGTTGATCTCCCTCTCCATCCAGTCTGTCATCGCCCCGGCTGCGGGGTGGAGGCAGTGCAAGTTCTCTCGCAGCTGGTAGAAGTCACTGAACCCGAGGAGCTGCGGAAAGCAACGCCGCGCGCGCAGGTTTGCACAGAACACACCTGAAGGCAAACGTCCTCTCTCGAGCACGCAAAAAGACTCAGGTGTGGCCCCTCTCCTGAGTTCAGAAGCAGTGGGAATAATGCCATCAGGAGACGCTTTAGGGGGCCTTTTCAACACGCCGAAGTACACCGCAACTCTCTCACTACATATATATTTATGTATATATATGTATACTTATATGTATACTTATATGTACATATATATATATATATATATATATATATATATACGTATATGGATATGCGGGCCACCAGCTGTCTTTCCACCCCGCATGATGGTGCTGCCCTATTGCCAGTGTGCTCGTCTCTGCGTGTGTGTATTGCCTAGGCACATGTCTCCTCAAGTCTGTCTTTAAGCGTGAAATGCGGTAAAAAATAAAACCTCGCTAAACTTCGTATCCGAGGAATGCCTCGTGTCCAGCTGGCTCTGTCTGCGTGTGGTGACGCCCCTGCTGTTTTGCCTGCATGCCTTTCCCTTGATCGGAATCCCCCACCCCATCTACTAACAAGTTCGCTCGCGGCTGCACCCTCTGCAGACAGACTCGTCTGGACGGACGGCGACGCGCTTACTGTGGAGCAGACGAAGGGCCTCGAGAACACCCACTTCAGAGCTACTGCAGTTAAATTAGGCTGCTCAAACCGGCGCGCTAAATTAAAGTACTCCCGCACTGCCTTCGCAGCCATCGATCCCCTGCCACAAGAGCAGAAGCAGCCACAAACGGCCAGCAAGCACGCACATAGATACACATACAGACAGACACATACACATACACACAGAAAGACAGACAGACAGACAGACAAACAGACACACACACACACACACACACACACACACACACACACACACACACACATACACACATACACACACACACAGATGCGGAATCCAGCTACAAGCCAGACTTTCTGGTGGCAGGGCGAAAGGAGGGAAGAGGGTAATCTGCAGGGGTTAGCCATGGTGCGTTCGCTGAGCGTGAGAGCCAAGAGGCACAAGACATAAAGAAGGAGGGGCCGCAACGGCAAGGAAGGCGAAGGAATGTACAGTAGAGCGTATGTAGAATCAGTTAGTCTCCGCAAGGAGTGGCCAACTGCTGCAGCTGTGGCGCCTCCGACAGAGCGGCAGCACCCAAACGGTGTTGCGTGCGCGTGGGGGAGAGTCTTACCTCAGTCTGCTCATGTAGGAAGGAAATCGGAGTAAACGGCCTGCCGTGGGAAATTCGAGCCACTCCAAATACTTTCCCGTCAACAAGCCTCCAGCTAGGGCCCCGTAGGCTACAAGCGAGACGCCTGAGCGGCACGCACTCGAGCACCCCAGAAGTTTTCGAGTTCAGATTCTACAGTGGCCATCTGCAAGCCGTGCATGGCGCGAGGCTGTCAGTACATCCTGAGGCTTTTGGCGTTTGGGGTCGCTACGACGCAGCCTGTTTGCCTAGAGCGAAGAGGCGCTCGAACAAGCGCATTGTTTCTACTTCCAGGAAAGCGGCGGACTGCTAACGGCTTGGGATTCAGAGGGTAGCCTTTTCTGCCTGCCTGCGTTCTGCGGGCGCACTGCCTCCACGAACTGCTTCTCCACATCGTTCCTAAAAAGCAGGCTATAGTGAACCTGGCAACTAGCTGGGGGAGGCAGTCCTCTGCCCTTGGCCAGCTGGCAGAATTTCAGAAGGCCATATGGCGTTTCGTTGCTCAGCCCCCACGCTCGAATCTGCACGCAGCTCCTCGAGGGCACACGCTTTGTCTCTGTCGTTGCTGTTCAGACTGAGTATGAATGCATGTGTTTTCTTAGTGGAGTGGCTGGCGGCAGAGTTGGTTGCTGGCGCGAACTGCCTGAAGCCGCATGGGATTCGTTCTACGAAGGCTGCACCAAGGGGGCATTCAGTGGCGGGAAAGGAATAATCCCGAGCGGCCTCGTAGTCTGCCGGATTGAACGAAGGGAAACGGGGGCAGTGGAGGGGTTGCCTTGCCTTTCCGTCTCTTAGGAGAGCTTCGATGGCGTCTAACTGCTCCTCCATGGAGCAGTGTCTCGCCTCCGTGTCTGTCGCGAGGGCTTTCTGAAGGCTCCAAAACATGTGGCAGTATCAGAAGCGGCACAGACGCGCGGCGTAGTTGCACGCCTCTAGGGGTAGCTAAGGAAGCAGAGGGGCACTGCTGAAGAAAGCGCGAACCGAAGGCGTGGCAGCGCTTCGCCCGTGTATACAAGTGCTGTATTTTAACGGAGGAGTCGCTCGCATGCAGAGGCCTCGAAATTTTCTAAAACTCTGCGAGCACGCTCCTCAGGGATTTCCACCTTACGGGGATATCAAAAAGCACATCTGCAGCGTCTCCCGTCTCGTGCAGAGGGACGTAGCGTTGCGGCCAGTGCAGCTGCAGCAAGTCGATGTAGGAGGAGCCCAAGCGTTGCAGGCTGCCCTCCGTAGCTTGAAGGATCTGGCGTTTGGAGAGGCAGGTGCCCTGTATGCTGCACAGCCGCATCAGCAGCACACAGGCAGCTGCTGCTCCTGCTGCTGCCACGCGCGTTGCATGCGTGCATGCACCTAAGAAGCAGTCGCATTCTTGGTCGTGCCCCGAGACAGACGTGGAAGCAAGCTGCCGCTGCGGCTGGCAGCGCGTGGTGGCGCAGCAGCAGCAAGTGCTGCAGTTGCTGCTGCTGCCCCTGCTAGCGCAGCCGAATTTTTTCATACTCCGCATCGCAGGGTTTTCGATGCCGTGGAGGGGGGAGGGGGGGGAAAGGAACGTACTTAGACTTTTCTTCGGTTCTAAGCCAAGCGAGTCTCTCATCTGGTCCTGCAACCTTCGTCGCAATCACTAACTCCGCTCGCTTGGAGGCGCCTCTCTGCGCCAGCCAGCTCCCCACTATCTTCTCGGCCGTTCCGTACGTCTTGGGAGACGCGGGGAGAGGATACAGCTCGGCGGTGTCGATGAAATTCACACCCCATCCATCCACAGCGTAGGACAAGAGATCCTCAGGAGTGTTGTAGTTGCCCTCCCCCGCTGGGGGCCCCCGAGGGGCCCCCATGAACATCGTTCCCAGACCCACCTCAGACACGTAGAGATCCGTCTGGCCCAGCTGTCTGTACGATAGCGTCCAGGGAGGCGTCCTTGTCGGCTGCGGAACGCGCGGAAGGCGCCCCTTCGGCAGGCACAACTTAGGCGATGCGCAGCCAGTGGTATAAGGCAAGCCTACATGCGCGTACTGGCGGTGATAGGCCTCTTCAGGAGACATCGAGGGGCCCTCTGGTCTCGGGATGAGCGGCGGGGGAGGCAGCTCCTCATCCTTTTTGTCCTTCCCTCTTACAGAGGGCGTTTCGGGGAGGAGTTGCCCTCCTGGATCGCCCTCGAAGGTGCCCAGCTGCCGCTGGGCTAGACTGCGGGAGCCGTTACTCTCAGCCTGAGCTTGCGCATGCAACGGACTCGCTGGAGGGGCCTCCGCCGCCTCGGAAGTCGGCGCATCGCCTGCTTCTTGTGTGCAGCCTCGGCTCTCTGAAAGGACCTGCTGCACCCACGGGAAATCCCTCGGGCTTAGCGTGCGGGAGAAGTTTTGCCTCCCCGCCAACACCCCGAACGGTGCTTCCGAAATGAATCGCCACTGCTCTTCCCCCTCCGGACTCCGACGCATGCCTAAGATCGCCAAGCAAAAACAGTCCGTCTAGCGCATGCACCAGGGCGAGAGTCACGTGCAGCGGCAGCGGCAGCGGCAGACACAGGCGCTCGGGGAGACGAGAGAGTTAGGGTGCTCGACTTGCAGGCTACATATGCATGCGCTTGGCGCGTCTGTCGATACGGCCTGCGTGCGGGGATGCTGTGACGGTGTGCAACAAGCCACGCCGTGGGAAGGCCAGAGAACGCAAAGAGGCCGCAAAAAGCTCCATCGGAGGTGCAGAGCTCATCAAGTAACACGGCGGAGCGGTGGGTAGTAGCGGGAGCGACTCGAAGGACTATAACGCGTTTCGGAGGCAAAAAAGCCCAATCGCACATCAGGAGCGCAGCTGCATCACCCACCGGATATCATTTCTTCAGCAAGCGTAGCTTGACGCGCAATGCCGTCGTCAACCTCCCTATCCGGGGGCCTAGTCTCCTTCAGATAGTACCGCCGAGATTCCTCCGTCTCGAGTCGATAGGCTGGCGTCACGCCCTCTTCCTCGAGCTCCGCATCGCCACTGCGTCGCTGAGGAGCCCAGAGACGCGGACTGCCAGCAGCCGTTCAGGAACAGAGCATGCAGCTTAGGATGGATCCCGACAAATCCCTTTCCCGCTTTCCCCCTACGACGCCCCCCAGACACCCACTTCGAAGCCTGAGAAAGAAATACCATTTTATAAGGGTTGTACTTCTTGTAGGACCACGAGTACTTCCTCTTGGGATCGAAGTAGCTCTCCACATAATCGTAGCCGGCTTCCTCCGTCGTGGCGTTTGCAGCTGCACGCATACCCGAGAATCGAACACTGCAGAAACGTGGAGCTAGCCTGGCGTTTCTCGTTTTTTCGCCCACGGCACCACCAGCGCGCTGCGTGCTCGCACGCCTCCCAGCTCCGCCGAGAAAGCGGCCCCCGAAGTACGCTTGGCAGTAGCTTTCCGTCCCTTCAGTCAGATTCTTCTGCGTCGCGGTTGGTCAGAAAATTGGAAGACATACGAATGAGCCCGTGGGAGACGACAAGCCGGCCCTTAGGGAGCCCTCGGCGGATGGGGATCCAGTCTTCATCTGGCACTGCCTCCGAGATGCCATACGCGGCCTTTTCCTCTGCAGGCGAGGGTAAAAGCACAAACCGCGCGCATGCATGCAGGGATTGCTTGCTCGCTTCCCGCTTGACAGACTCTGTGGCCCTTGCAGCGCTCCCCACAGACATCCCCCGCAGCTCAGGAAATCCGCGCATGCCTCCGCATGCGCCAAAAGCCGCAAAAGCACTCAGAAACGAGCGCATGAGAGCGACGCCACCACGCAGCGGCCTGCTCCAGTGTGGAGTACCCCTCTGCAGCCTCTTGAGCTCCTCGGGGTCGTCTGCCCACTGTGCTTTCAGGCGTTCAAACGTCTCAAGGTCGATGAACATAGGGCTTGAGTCGAGCGCCTAAGGGGCATACAGCACGGCAGCACAAACTCGTCTGCGGGGTTTGCGCACTCTCTCGACGGAAGCAAAACGCCTCTCTCACAGTCGCTGCTTTCTAACCTCCCGCGTTTCGCTCCCCCTCCGGAAGGCCCCCCAATACGGTAGCCCCCTTGGCTTTCCCAAGCTCGGCAGCGATTTCGCAGCTGCAGGATAGCATGACTCTCGACTCGTGCCACTCAGCCTCTCGCTCTGTGTGTGGCAGTCTCAGCAAGAGACCTGCTGCCAGCAGCTCCCGCTGCTGCTGCTGCTCTCCGTCTGCTCTGGCGGCTTGTCTGCTGCCGTAGCACCTGCAGAGCAGCTGGTGTATCGCTCTCGGCGCGATTCTGGCTGGCTGCCTGCGTTGGCTATTCAAGCCGCAGGTAGAAACGCGGACCGCTCTGCTCTTTTCCGTTCCCAACGCGCCTACTTGGCTAGCTCGCTAGCCAGACGCTCGTGGCAGCTCCTGCAGGCCATGCGTCTCCCAGACCTACCTGTCTATACAGAACGGTTTCGCCGTCAATGGTGATGCTCTTCACAGGCAGTTGATCCACAGTTTTGGCGTGAGGCGGAGGCAGGCCTTCCCTTGCGTTTCTTGCCTCCATGTCTTCTTCTTCTACAGGTATGCGATTCAAGAAAGACTCCCACCCCGGAGTGGCGCTCTGCTCGCGCCGTCGCTTGAGAGCCTTCAGCTTCGCTCGCTGAGACACCTGAGAAGCAGAGAGGGTTGGCGAGAGCCAGTCTCGACGTAGCGAATCGGTGTCGACATCTCCGCTTGTCTCTCTGGAAGCACCGATTTCCTGCTCTCCTGCCCTGCCTGCTGCTCTGGACGCCTTCCCCAACTCGGCTGTAGCGTCTGCTTCAGCTATAGCACTCGCTTCAGCTATAGCGTCCCCTTCAGCTGCATCCTCCTCCTCCGCTTCAGCTTTATCGTCCGCGTCGACTGCTGTCATTACACGGGATCGCACAAGGCCCTCCGCAATCGCCTCTTGCTCACCATCTGGCTCGCCGTCCAGATACTCATCAGCCTGTGCATTGCTGCCCTCCTGTGCTGCTGTCTCTGGATCTTCTGCGGCGTCTTCGTGCAGCTGCAGCAAGTCCTCTGCCGCACCAGAATAGAAATCTGCATGCATGCCAGCCCCAGCAGCTGTCACGAAGCCGCGATGCTGCACCTTCTCGTGTTGTCGCGGCAGCAGCAGCAGCGGGAGCTGAGCGGCTGCAGCAGCAGGGGGAGCAAGGTCTGCTGGATACTGCCGCAGCAGCGCAGTTGCATGCACACGCCCTGAGCGGTTTCTTCTATGGAGTTTCCAGTGCTGATGCTTCTGCTGCTGATGCTGAAAAGCTGCAGGCCATATACATGAAGAACGATGGAGGAAGCCGTCCACAGGCGGCTGCCCCCTCAAGGCAGCCGCTGAGCTCTGCTGCAGATCAGCATGAAGTAATGCGTAAAACACCAGCACCAGCATACGCCTATGTGCAACGAACGCACGCAGAAGTCTAACCAGCATTTCGGATGAAATTTGGCCCTAATGCTGCTGATCATTATCCTGCTGAATGACGATTATTAGGCTGCTGAATGACGATTATCATGCTGCTAAATGCTGATTATTAGGCTGCTGAATGACGATCATTAGGCTGCTGAATGCTGATCATTAGGCTGCTGAATGACGATCATTAGGCTGCTGAATGCTGATTATCATGCTGCTGAATGACGATTATTAGGCTGCTGAATGCTGATCATTAGGCTGCTGAATGACGATCATTAGGCTGCTGAATGACGATCATTAGGCTGTTGAATGCTGATTATTAGGCTGCTGAATGACGATCATTAGGCTGCTGAATGCTGATTATCATGCTGCTGAATGACGATCATTAGGCTGCTGCCTCTCTGTCTGTGCTCGCTTGCTCTCCCCTGTAGTACTGTCTCAATGCCTTGAAAGAGGAAGTATTGCGAGGGGAGGTCCTACGCCTTGGGTATCTCTACAACACTTTCCGCTATGCGTAGACAACTCATCGCTGAACGCTGATTTCTGACATTCAAGGAGGCCCCTTCCTTGCGCTTTAGGAGCTCTCTCCGTCTTTCGGAGTGGTCAACAGCTCACGGCTGTGCGCCTTCAACCGCCGTTCCCTTGCTTTCTCCAGTGGTTCTGTCTGCTTGCAATACCCTTCCGCATGGAGCTGTGCAGCCGGCTGGTGCTGTTGCCCGCGCTGATGGCGCTATAATTGCAGCAGCAGCTGCTGCAATTGCGTCGGCGATTGCAGCTGCGGATGCTGCAATTCAGCTGCAGCTCTGAGCTGGGGCGGTTCGTCCGCGATGGCTTTACGCCGAGGCGTTCAGTTTCCCAACACTGGCAGGCCTGGCAGCGAATGCTTCGTTTTTTTGAGCATAGGAAAAGCCCCTTACGCTGCAGTAGGAGCTTCAGGAGTTGGAGCTTGCATAGGGAAAGCGGATTTCTCGGAGTACACTGTGTGGGCACTTGCGTAGGCTTGCGGGCGTGGGAGCATGAGCGCCTGCCCCCCCTGCCCCCCACGGCGAGTCACTCTCTTGCCTTCTTCGCACGGTTCCCATGAATTCGTGATTATTTCTTGCGCTTTGAGCTTTTTGCATCGTCTGCTTTGCCCTTTCCCTCCCAGAGTCTCCGAAAAATCCTCCCCGTCGGCAGTGCCTGCCGGCGAGGACCTTCTCACCCCCCATCTCTGAGCACCCCAAGGCCCTATGGCTCCTGAGCCGCAAAAAGCTTGAGGGCAAGCTGTATTCTGATTTGATTTAGCAGTCTAAAAACGTCGGCTGCGCTCCTGCGGAATTCCAACAACGGCGTTTACCTGCGCCTCTCTCTCTCTTCAACACGCTACTCTAGCGCGAGACACACAACTGTCTCTGCGCTCTTCTGTCTGGCGGGCCTCTCCTGCGTGCATGCCCTCCAGCCCTCCGAGCAGTTAGGCAAAAAATTAAAAGCCTGTGTCGGAAATGAGACACCGGAAGGCTCAAGAAGGCTCTATGACGTGAGTTGCCAAGCAAAAGGCTTCCAGCTGCGCAGCCTGGGGTAAGGCCCCCTTCGACAGCTCCAGCAATTTTCGCAGCGTTCGGTGCCCCGGTGGCGCCATTCTTGGCAGCAGTTGAGGTGTATGTACAGTGCATCGAATAGCAGTAGATGCAAGACAAGGAACCCATATGCGCGCAAACCGCCTTCGCAGGCTGCCTCGAAGATGCGCGAAGAAGATACAAGCCCCTTACTGCAACCAGAAGGCAGGAGCTCCCCTGACGCTGATGCAGCTTCAAGGGATGCAAGTGTTTCCAGCATCAACGACAGCAGCAGCGCATCATGCCCCCGCTTATCCCTGCGTCCAAACCGTGACACGTCTGCAGCATCGTCGGCAGCAGAATTGCAAGCAGAAGCAGAGCCGACAGCAACACGAGCAACAGCGACAGTCTCTCCCAACAGAAAGAGGCGCTCGTGCTTCAGCTGGTCTTCTCTGACTTTTAGCTTCGCATCATGCCTGCTAGAAGGCGGCTCAGCAGGGGGGCATTCCCCCCAGAATCTCTACGAACTTCGGCTTGCTGCTGAAAGACTGCCCCCGCTGGCAACAGCCCGCAGCACGGAGCAGGTGACTGAAGCGATCAGCAGCAATCTTGCGGCGGCGGCAGCAGCAGCTGGAGCAGGTCGCAGCAGTCATGAGGGTAAAGAGAAAGATCTTTCGGTTTACAGGGTGCTCTTTCGCTTGGTTGCGCCTTGCGCCATTCCACTAGGCTTTCTCCGGCTGCTCGAGCTGCTGCTCTCTTCGCTCTCTCCGTTGCTGCTCGAAGGCATCGTGGCTTCTCTGGAAGCTCGCGACCACGCTCCACCTCCCTCCCTGGCGCCGCGCGTCAGCCTGGCGCCCCCTAGGCCCCACGCCGAACGCGCGGGCCCACAGTCTGCGTTCCGGCTGACGCGGCCGGCGTCACACAGCATAGCAGAGTACGCGCTGGGAGTCCCTAGCACCTCCACCGCCGCCTGTTCCTC